TGCATATCATCAGAACAGATCAAAATCGTCACTTACATTTATTGGTTTGGTTTTAACAATGTCTGATATTACAAGTAGGTGCATAAGATGTGCTGGTTAAGGATTTTATAAAGCTTATTCTGATGAGGCGTTTTAGGTCATCAAAATGTACTAAGTGTGTTTTTTTTAAGGTAGATTGTCATCCGTTTTATTTAAACAAGAAGTTCCGTTTTTAATGTATGCAAAGGAAGCATATCAGATTCTATTTTGAAATCTCGTTTCAATACAATCCAAATATTGTATATCAATGCCAATCTTTCCTTTAAGCAGTTTTTTGGGGGTGATAACAGTTTTTGATTGAGTAGCACCGAGCGACAGATGAGGCATCGATGAAATCGCCATCAATATTAGACCGCGTGAGTGAGATATTTTCAGCGACGGGAGGGGCTGAGTGATGAGGCAGCGAGTGGAAAAATACCGGAGCGCGAGTCTTTACAGCATCACCAGACTTGACTGAAGAGGAAGGGATGCTGAAGGACAAAAAGACCCGCAGAGGCTGATCTCTACAACGCCCCTCAGAAAATCATTTATTATTTACATTACTTCATAAAAAAAGTTTTAAAATCAGTGAACCTGACAATGATAAAATATTATTGATACTTTGTGTTTTCGATGCTAAAATAGATGTATGTTTACACCATCCCTTTGCCAAGGACTGACCCATGATGCTACTGCCCAGGTTTTTGTTTGCTCAGGTTAAACTGAGCCTGTTAGGATCTGGGGAAGGCTGGTTGGGGGGTCTCTAGTTTCTCCACCAGGGGGCATCCTGGGACCTTCTGGAGGGCGTGAACCTGGAGCTGCACACCTGCTGCCACTTACCATTGTTTGGAGGGGTTTATCAGGACGGAGCCGCCGACACTCCAGTGCCAGAGTGTTAGCCTGTGATGGTAATATCATTGTAGCTCACCTCCGACCACCAGTTCTCCAAGTAACCTCCTTTTGTGCTGCCTTTCTTAGGTTGTCGTTCCGTGAAGCCCTGAGTTTCTTCAAACTTCTACGAACCTGGGCAGATTACCAAAGATCCTCGAGACCCCGCGGAGTCTACCCGTTGGTGGCCACGTCCGTGAGACCAGCTCTCAGTTCTGTCGGTGGCAGATCCCTGGTCAAGCGGATCCCTTCCGGCACCTTGTCTGAGATCTCCCTCCACTCACCTGTCCGCCCTCTAGAGAAACTCACGCCCTCGTTCCAGCCTGCAGCTCCGGATCCTAGCGGTTCACCTCTCCATGCTCAGACGAGCTCACCAGCAAGTAGGTCTCTGGCTGGACTGCAATTCCCACAATCTCCGAACCCCTCTTACCTGTCTTATCTCCACCCAGAGATCCAGAACCACGCAGACGAGCACCAGTTCCGGACCTCCTTGTACATACCTGTTAGCACTGTATTTAATAAACCACCATAACCTTTACCCGTCTCCAGAGTGTGTTCTGTGCATGTGGGTTCGACAAATTAATCTCAACATGACTGAGCCTCACATTTCCAGCAGTTTCTCATGCGTAAAGTAAGAGTTCTGCTCTTTACTGTCATCATAGATGGCACTTTTGTTGTCTTCATCTTTTTGATTAGTCTCTGAAAAGTTCATCTCAGTTTTAACATCAGACTGCCTTTCACTAGGCACTGAGACTTAATATTATTAAGTATTTAAAAATGATAAAAGGTGTTCGTACACAAACAGTGTGATGCTGCTTCTGTAACAATTCTGTTATAAGATGACCGTCCAAGGATCTTCACTAGACATTACTTCTCACTTGATGAAACATGTTGCTGAGTAAAAATACAGATCAGAGATCAGCGAGAAACAGAAACCAAAAAGTGACTTAAGTTTACGATGTTGCAACGTACATATTCTGTGCCATGTTTCTTCTTGCTTGGTGGAGAAGAGAGTTAGTGTTTAAATACTGATGTTATTGTCTCAATCAGTGTCTGGATGTCATAATTTTAGTACTAGGCTTCTAGTTGATGGATATTTTACAGATAAAAAGCAAAAAAAGATTTTATGTTTTTAGTTTTGTTATGTCCACTTGTCTATTTGTTCTGGCAAATGTGTATAAACTCAGAATGGTAGAGGTAGTCTTTTTCAGATTACATATTCAGTCTATACCTACAAGCATCCATTATGTCAACTTATTAGCTGACAGACCTACAGAAGAATGACTATTTCCACCTTGGGAAGTCTTTTTATGCTGTCAGTCAACATGACAGACAACAAAGAAGTCTAGCAAAGTGTTTCTCAACCCTGGTCCTCACTGCCCTCCTGCTCTGCATGTTTTAGATGAGCCTCTATTCCAGAACAGCTGATTCAAATGATTGCATGACCATCAAGTACTGCAGAAGCCTGTTAATCACCCAGAGATACAATTCAGGTGTGCGGCAGAAGGGAAACACCTAAAACATGCAGGACAGGGGGGCGGTGAGGACCAGGGTTGAGAAACACTAGACTGTAGTCACTAGAGTCTAGGCATTCAAAGTGACTCTTTGATATGGACCACTGACTTGTCTGACCTGTTTTTAAAACCTGTTTCAAGCCAGTCAGAAAAAAACAACTGAAAGTAAAACCTTCAGAACCGACACAAACGTCTTTTTCTTTTCAGACTATACAGAACTATACATATATTCAGTTTGATATTGCAGCAATAACATGATTTATTTGTTGAAAAAGGTCATAGTGTCATAGATCTTATAAGATCTGAAAACGAAGAGAAACAGCCCAGTAGTAAACATGACACTGTTCACTTCAGTAACTGAGGATGAAAGAAATGCATCATTATGATTTGAGCCTCATAATTTCCTCTTATTCCAGAAAGTGACCAGAGTTCAGTTTGTTTTCTAAAAATTAACACTTTCCAGTGTTCAGGATGAACTTTAATTACCAGCAGAACGTCTCACTGACATAGTAGCTGCTCTACAGTAACATGGAGATGAGGCGCAGATTAGAAATGGATTATAAACTAAAAAGTTCTCAATTTATTCATTATCACAGTAAAAACTAATATTAATATAGAACAAGTCATTTAAGTTGATAATATATGACTTATTACATATTATCAGCTTTTTTAGTGCATCTCAGAATAGCCAAAAACAGATTTACAATAAACTTGTAAAAAGCTATTCCAGTGGGTAGAAGGCAAAAAAAAAGTTCAGGTAAGAGCCTCATACTATCAACAATTATATTTAGTTGTCTAATAATTTTTACTTCATGCTTAAGTAAAAATTAAAAGCATGGTACAGTAAAACTGCTCTAAGTAAATATTTATCAAAAAGTTACTAAAGTAACAGAGTAAATGTAGGCTACTCACCTTCAGAGACGTGAACAAAGTGAAGCTATGTAAAAGGGAGGAGACTGGACTCCTGGAGCAGGTGACTTACCTTTTATTGCATCAGCTCTGATGGACAGAGGAGGAGGAAGAGATGGAGGTGAAGACTGGACACAGCGATGTGCTATTGGATTAAAAACAATCAAAGAGGGAAGAAAAACTATCTAATAACAAAACAGCAAGTTTACATTTCTTACTGATTAAAAAAAATTGGATCTGTGAAGGCATGTTCTGCCTCCCATGTGGGCCCCCAGTAGGTACAGGCCGGGGGCCTGCTGCAGCCCCCACCCTATCTGTAGCTCCTTCCCTGATATGATGTCACAAATATGTTGCAATTGTGACATGAACTGTCTGATTTCTAAATCAACACCAGACTGAGTTACTGTTGGACTTAACTTAGAAATCAACACTGGACTGGATTGCTTTTTGTTTAACTCTTTGGAACTCTTTAGTGCGTGTTAGGGGAAACTAACACTCATGTTGTTGAATTAACACTGTATTTTTGATATTCAAAACTTACACTGGAAATCTAACACTTCCGAATTTGCTGTGTATGCTCTAATCTTAGAATCAACACCAGTAGTTGGGAACTGTAAAAAAAAAGGAACAGAGGGAAATTGCACTTGGTCCTGATAACATACTTGTGAAGGTTTGATGGCAGAGTTTATGACTATGTTATTCAACAAGATCTTCAAGAGTGAGGAGATGAAGTGTTCTGATGCTGATTTTTAACAACAAGGAAGATACAAAATTGTGGCAAAGCTAATGATTCATACAATTACACTGTGGGAAAAAGTGGTGGAAGATAAGTTTATGTCAGAGGTGAGCATTTGTTTCATGACAGTTTCATGACATGAAAGAGCACAACAGACACAATGTTTGAGGAGGTCTGCAGAGGAAAAGATGGAGCTGCATCAAGGATCTGCCCTATGCCGCTTCTTGTTTGTTCTTTCAGACCTCAAAATGTTGGGGATGGATAGAATCATGGAATGAGTGCTTCACAGGGACATCTGATGTTAGATGTTTGGAGATAAAGTGAGAGAAGTCAGACTGAGATGGTCTGGACATGTTTAGAGGAGAGACGATGATTATATCTTTAGAAGGATGCAGAGGTTGGAGCCACAGATTTGTATTCTTCCAAATATCAATCAATCAATCAATCAATCAATCAATCAATCAATCAATCAATCAATCAATCAATCAA